AGTTAAGAAAAATAAAGTCCAATAATTAAGTGAGAAATTATATTTTTGTTTTGTTATTGTTGGGAGAAATCCAAGAAGTAATTTTTCGTGTTAGTGAGTTGGTGTCGAGGGTTCTTCCAAGAGGAGAAAACTGCACTAGAAATCGCATATTGGGTGCATCTTCTCTACTTTACCTCGCTTCGTAGATAACCGTTGTGCAGAACCACGTTCATTTCACATTTTCACTCTAGGGTTTCTTCAACTTCATGGCTTCCCCTACTCATTTCGACGATGTAAGCGGCACTATCCCTCCCACATCATTACTTTTCTTGCGCTTTCGTCGTTCCCTTTAACCTCAACTTCGCTTCTGCCAAATGCAGGACTTCGATTTCTTAGGTGGATTTGGTGCTAGGCATTCAGGTTTTAGTTATTCTAGCTGTTTTTCTGATTAACCGTTGCTTCAATTTGACTTGTTTTGTTGAGTTCGGTTGTATCGTTGCTTTGAAATCTAGGTAGTAAGAGGTCGTCTCCCGATTACGACGATGAAGATTACGACAACGATCCTTATACAACAAAGAAGGTACGGTTTGCGTGAGTCTGTTATGCTGTGTCGCCATTTAGGTGCAGGATATAGTGGAATGTGTTATTCTTTTCTTTTCTTTGTTTTTCTTTGGCTGCATTGGATTGTTGTTGTGTAGGAATTGTTTAGGTTGAGGAAAGTGAGACAGCTTGAATGATATTGTTTTTTCGCAATAATTTAATTTTCATGGAGAATATTGGCTGAGTTTTAGGGTTTGGCTCACTTGACTTATGTGGTGTGCATTGGGGATATATGTTTGGTTTGGGATTGTACTTGTTCATGTATGGTGAGCAGTGGAAGTCGACGTGGATGAAGGGTATTTGATTGCTCTGTTTACGTAGCTTACCTTTTTTCTTGCTAAATTGTTTGTGCAGCTTATAATAATATGCTTTATAAAATGAAAGAAGTTAAATAATGATTTGTGATGCAGGCTAAATCAAAAGCTGAAGAAGCCTCTGGTGTAACAACAGGAATGATTTTGTCACTGCGTGAGAGGTATTTTACAGAATAAACGGTGGGAGGTATATTGTACATTGTGTAAATTGCAGCTGATTAGTTGGGTCTAAAACATGTTTTTGATCTTTGTACTTTTGCAGTCTTCAGAACTGTAAGGATACACTTGTGACATGCCAAGTACGTTTTTTCTTTAAAGAATTGACCATCTTTGCTCCCTTCTGTTGCCGTTATCCTTTTGGTTTTCTTTCACAATTTTATAGTTCTTATGTATGAAAGAATTTGAACTTTTGTTATTAGAGAAGCAAACTTCAGTTATAGTCGATGTGATTTAAGACTTGGTACATGATTGTATTCATGATGAAAAGGTGTCAATCTTCATCTATAATGTTTGAATTGTTATGATTTGGAACAGAATGTTCTTGCACCATTCCCAATGATCTCTATTACCATAGCTGAGTTATATGTTAGAATGGAGGGTTGTTTTCCTTTTGTACAAATTTCCACATATGAAATAATCTTATTCTCATATTGTAGGCTTGAGCTGTACATTTTCCTTACATAGAAATATTGACAAGAGTGTTGAATTTTCCAGAATGAACTTGAGGCTGCAAAATCTGAGATTCAGAGTTGGCATTCTACACTTAAAAATGAGCCTTCTGTACCTGCTGGGGTCACTCCAGGTTTGTTTGTACTCTGTTTTGCAAGTGACATATACCTGCATTAATTGTTCAAGAAATGACTCTTTATACATTTATTTTATTTTTTCTAAATGTATACTTGAACATTATTTTATCTTTCTTCTTTCTAGATCCCAAAATGTTGATTAATCATCTTCATACCTTGAAAACCTCTGAAGAATCTTTAAGAGAGCAGGTTTAGAATCTAGTTATACACACTCACACACACATATATCTATCTATCTATATATATATATATATATATTTATATATATATATATTTCTTTCTTTTCGTTCAAAATAATTCATCATCTATTCATCTGGTTTCATTGATCTTTTATCATTTTCCTATTGGATATTAGCTTGAAAAGGCGAAGAAAAAGGAAGCTGCATTCATTGTAACATTTGCAAAACGAGAACAGGAGTTAACCGAGTTGAAGGTAATATCTCAAAATAAGGTTCTTTCCAGTTTTTGTGTTAGCATGATTGTGTGTTTCTTTTCAGCATCAACCATGACCACCTTAGTAAATTCCATCTTTCATAGGAAAAAAAATCTGAAGTGCATTATTTTTATATTTTCACTCTTCATCCTTTACCTATAGAAATCAAGAACATAAAATAATTGTCTGTATGAGGTTTCACTATATTCTGCTTGATATCTGCAGTGCCCTTCCTTTTTAATCTTGGATGTTTTATCTCTTATCGATTTAGTAATTTGTCTGGATCTTGGCTACTCAAGCACCAGAGATGGAACCTGTAGCTTTTGTTGTTGTAGCTGTTCTTTTTTTTATTATTCTTATTTGTGTTTCTCCTCGTTAATGATTGGTTGTTTGGTAACTTCTCCAGTCTGCTGTGTGGGATCTGAAAGTGCAACTCAAGCCACCGTCTATGCAGGTAAGTTTATGACATGAATGATTAAGTGGATCATGCTGATGATTCTTCTTTTCACATTATTTTTAGAATCCTGTTTTTTCTGTTTGTTTGAGGCATTGTAAAGACTGCTCTTGATTCCTTGCCCAATGGCTTGTATTTCACTTTCTTTTATTGTGTCGTGCTCAAGGTTGTCAAACTTGAGAGTTTACGAAAACTCATGAGAATTCCGTAAACTCGACTAGTAGACTCAACCCAACCTGTAAACTCATAAGAGTTTACTTCTACTTGAGATTGAAACTGTAAAATAATTTTAAAAGGTTTGATTGATCCCTCTCATAATCTTCTATTTATAAGAATAAATTGATAATATAATCCTGATAAATAGGGTAACCCTAGACACAATATAATCATGATAAATAGGGTAACCCTAGACAATATAATCATGATAAATAGGGTAACCCTAGACATAATATAAAGATGATAAATTGGATAAATATTATAACACTCCCCCTCAAGCTGGAGCATATAGATTGTATGTACCAAGCTTGGAATAAATAAACTCAATCCAACAAAATCAACATGTCTGGAATGTTGAGACAATAGACGTGGTAACTTTGGCTTCGAACAAGATGCACATATGCTTCATACCATCGAGAGAGAATGTCTATAAACCAAATTGGACTCACAAACCAGTGTAGCCAAAGAGACTCCTTAGAAGCTTATGGAGAATAATATTGGACAACAGTGGACAACCACGAAACATCAACTAGCACCATGAACCTTCAAGTAGGATGACTTTGACAAAGGAGATTTCCATCAAGAGTGGATGACAGCCAACAATAGTAGACGACAACAAACTACAGGAACTGGATTGCCATCAAGTAAGGATGAGGCCTGTAGTGGCTAAAAGTGACATAATTGCAGGGATTTCCATCACTACTGATGGGGCTTGCAGTGGTTGAAAATGATAAAACTGCAAGGACTGCCATCACTGACTGATGGGGAAGAAGTGATTGAAAGTGACAAAATTGCTGGGATTGTCATCACTGACTGATGGGGCATGTAGTGGCGGGAAACATACTCTCCTCACGCGCCGATGACAAATCGTGAAGGTGGAAGATCATAATGGTCTCTGTATTCATCAAAGCACCACTAGGAACCATGGTTGGATTGTGTTGAGCACTATAAGGATGACAAATTCGAGGAACAAAGATTGGGACTTATGATGACATTAAAATGCCAAAGATAGGTTGGAGGTCCAAAGGTTATGTGTTGGACTACTCCCAAATGGTGATACTTAACACTGTATCACAAGAAGTACGGGCTAAACAAACTAGACTCGAGCCCAAGAAGAAACTGACCAACAACGATAGAAGAAAGAAGTGACGTAGTGGCGTCAAGAGCGGTCTGCTGAATTCAAAATCAGGAACCAAGGACGTATGTGGACTCAACATGATTTGGTGAGTCAAACAATGTTGAAACAGAGGAGATCTGACCGACTTAGGGTTTCAAAACAATCAAAGGAGAAAACCCTATGTCTGAGTTACAGCCACCGAAACTAAGAAACAAGGACCAAAATGCACTCAGGAGGCTCTGGCGAGACAAACAACAGTATTGCAGTGTGATTCCAACAACGAGAAGGTGGCACGTGACAAACACGCGCCGGAAGCTTATCGGAGAGAAGCCATGCGTCACGGCGCGTGTGGAGGAGAATTAGGCAACGACCACTATGGATTGGTTGCGCTCCTCAAGGCGCACAAAACCCCTAACTTTGCCGGAGAAAACACGGCAGCGGCGGCAGCATTCATCGAACAAATGTGTTTCTTGTTCATCAGGTTAATGTAGGGTGGCCCACATGGGTTTTAGGGCACAGGTTATCCTGTCAGCATTATAGGGAACTGTATTTTTTTAAAATTAAAATTTTGCATGAGCATTCCCTGTTTCACTAAACTTTGACAAATAAGGAATGATGTTGAATTTGTTTTTATAATGTTTCTGCTGTAAATTTACAGCATGTTTAGGTTCTGCTTTGTGTTTGTGGTGTCTTTGTTTGTATCATCTCACATCATTGTTGAAAATTAATCCTGCTGTTGGTTGTATATTGTATTCTATTTTTTTATTGAATATTTAATGCCCTGAAATTCTTTGAAATATAATTTTCAGGCTCGGAGGTTGTTACTAGATCCAGCTGTTCATGAAGAGTTCACTCGTTTAAAGGTTTGCTATTTGACTTGATGCTGACTTACACTGAATTGAGTTTGGTTGATCTTTTTAACTCTTTTCTGTTGGAGAAACACAGGGAGGTGAGAAAAATTGAGTGTGGTAATTTGTAATTCATGTTCAAATAGGAAAAGGTTAGTTAGTTCAAGTTGTCTACAGATTTTTTTCACCGACTAATATAGTGCAGAAACATTTTGTTAGTGTCTGAACCGTGTTGTCACAACTAATAGCCGTGTCATGCCTTGTTCACTGGGGTAACAGTAATAAACTTATGTATTTTGGAGGTCACAAAATGAAATGGAACGGAATTATCACAGAAGATGGAAGAGTATAGGCAACCTTTGCACTTTGGGTAGACAATCCTTGTATAGTTGGAAGTACAGGGGATAAGTTTTATGGTAGAGGGTTTATGTAAATCTGTAACCCTTTGTTTGGTAGAGAGGAGGGGGAGGGAGAGGTTGGTTGTTTGTTTTAGGGATGAGGGGAAAAGAATAAAATGGAGGAACCCACTTTTTATTTCCCAAATATTTCAATTCATCTCTCTCTCCCTCTCCTTATTTTTCCCATCAAATCAATCAAATTGCATAACTTTCAAAATACCTTGTCTTTTTCTCGCTTATTTCTACTCTACCAAACAAATTAATCAAACAATTTTATTTCTTACATATTTATCTTTTCTCAACTTATTTATTCTCTATTTCAATCCTTTCTATTTTCATCTAAATCAAACACACCCTAAATGTTTTCAGATGACATTAGAATAGGAAAATTTAAGATTTGGCTTCCTCTGTGATGTGTTTGGCCCTTTGGATATTTTATACTGATGCTTTAATACCCATAACTTAAACACTGTTGATTTTTTTTTCTTTCTTTTTGGCTCGAGAGAGTTGTTTTAGTTACACTTTTCTTTTCTTTCATGTTGTCACTCCCTACCCGTAATAACAATTTCTTTCAGTTGTTGGTTACCCCTTTTTAGTTCTTACAAGATTTCTCTTCTGATAATAGAATTTAGTCGAGGAAAAGGATAAAAAAGTAAAGGAGTTGCAAGATAACATTGCTGCTATGAATTTTACTCCCCAAAGCAAGATGGGGAAGATGCTGATGGCTAAATGTAGAACCCTACAGGAGGAAAATGAGGAGATTGGAAATCAAGCTTCTGAGGGGAAGGTGCTACCATCTCTTTGCTCTATGCCTCGAACTGTCCCTTTTCCCCCACTTGTGTTGTATTGTCACAATTGTATGCAGTTTTCCCATATTGACATAAGGGCTCAATCCCAAAATGTATTATATGGTATTCATTGTTACTGAATTGATGCTTAAATTGCTGCATTTTCCATTTGTGTTTTCCTCTTGGTATGCAGATACATGAATTAGGAATGAAGCTGGCATTGCAGAAGACCCAGAATTCACAGCTTAGAAGTCAATTTGAAGGTTTGTCATTGAATGGAACTTGTTTTATGTTTTAAATCATGGATAGTGGTTTGCAGCGGCCGTCTTCAAAAACACCAGACACTATAGCGAATTAGTGCATAGCAAGATAACCACTATTTTGGACTTTTAGTTTATATATTGTGAACTATACACAGAAATTGTCAAAAATGATAACAATTACTCAAAGTAATTACATTCATAATTAACAATAAAAGGTCATTTGGTTTTAAACGCCGACAAAAGTCAACTACTGGTTTTCTAGATAGAATTATCGATTATCATCTGAATTCAAGCTGTTATAATTTTCATTATTATTACATCTATAGATTTGAATTTTAGAAATTAAAATCGCAGAAATAGCCCTCCAGCAAGCCCTAATGTCTCTATTCCAAGTTTTGTTTTGGAATAAACACAGCGCCTCGATAGTGCCCGCAGTGGCAGCTGTTTGGTCCGCTACAGTAGCCCCTAGAAAGAACAGGGCCTGCTCCGACTGTTTGGTCCAATAGTGGCACTATAGTATTTAAAACCCTTTTGGTTCTGTAATCCCTTGACTCTTACACCAGCTACCTGGGTAACTGCCGTCGCCTTTTCTTTAAAGATTCAAATGAGTGTATCAATAGTTTTGTTAAATTTCATGCCAAACTGATACAATGAAATGATATTGTCGTGTGTGGCTATAAAGCTAATGATTTGTAGTGTATAGTATGCTGGAACTATTATCATAACTGTGCTAATTTATTTTCTTGTCTATAAAATTGAAGACTGGAAGGATTAAACCCTAGTTCTTGTCCATGACATCTATTACAGGGTTGCAGAAGCACATGGAAGGACTGACAAATGATGTGGAAAGATCCAACGAAACGGTTTTTACTTCTTTCTCCGTTTCTCCTTATTTGTTATTTAAAGATTGCAGTATCTTCTGCAATAAAAGTATCTCTTTGATTCATAAGCAACAATTTATGAACAAAGGGTGAATATTTTGTTTGCGGACCCTGCAACTGGAGAAAACAATTTATGAACTCAATTGTTGTGTTGGGAACGAGGCCGAAAAAATAAATGATTGCTGATATTGCTGATATGAATTGCATAAATGATCAGCCAGATTAAAAAGTTCTGCCTCAAGTTTTTGAAACTGATAATACAACTTTCTCAAATATAAATTTTGAACGAATATTTTTATTATTACGTAAAAAAAAGGGTAAATAAATATTGTTTTTAAAATTTTATGCCATGATGTCCTTAGATTGATAGAAATTGGGTATTGATGTTTTCAAATGGAATCTTTTTGTATACTTGGAACCTGTTTATATCCGAGTCAATAAAATGTTTTCCATGGTTGGATAACGTGATACTTGTATGAATGCGTTGATATTTGAACGCGTTATTTTACAATAAAGAATTGTGAATCAATACTTTTGGCATATATGAAAATTGATATTTGATAGTCCATCCTAAAATGGGATTGCATTCCAGGTTCTGATGTTACAAGATAAACTCGAAGAGAAGGATCGGGAAATCCAAAGACTGAAACATGAGCTTCAGCAGAAAAACGTAGAGAATGCAAGGTCAGATGCTGCTTTGACCAGAAATGACGATAATGAGACGACAGCTGGAGAGGCTGCTAACTAATTTGACAGTATAATTTTTTGTAGGAAACGATTGTTTTTCATTTTAATGTCTTTATACTCTTGTACATTATGTTAATAATTTTTTTTTGCATATTTATGAGGAATGCTTATGCTTCCACTTTGAGTGGAAATATAGTCCTCGTATTTGAACATGGTGCCATTTTTATACT